TTATAAATGTGGGCATGCTGTGCTTATATTACTTGTAAAATAAAGCGTAAATATACGTGAAAATGGGTGGTCTGCCATTGGAAACAGGATTGGTAAAGCAGACAGCTTCTAGGTATATTCTTAAACTTTTCTCATTTTATGTGCTCAGTCTGACTCCATGGATCCCTTGTGTTTTTCCTGAGCCAATAAGGAATAGGATGTGATGGTGTGATCTAGTCCCCCTTGGAATGGATGTGTGTGCCTGGAGTAGAGGGAGTTGGTGACGGGATTCTCTCTGCTACTTGCAGTTTCATTGCTCATGTCCCCTTTAGGGTTGATCACCTTTGTTGCCTATTAACATGTTCAAGTTAATTGCTTCACAGCAAAGCAAAGTCAAACTAAGACCCAAACTGACCAAGCTTTCGAGTTAACATCTGAGAAACAGATCTCTCACACTGATCCTTGGTAACATTTGGAAATGCCAAGGCCCTTCTGTGGTTCTTAAAATAATCTTCCAACCTAATCTAGATAGAGGTAGAGATGAGGCCAACTCTTTCCTTAAGCCATTTCTTAAGCTAGTGCTACAGTTAAGTAAGAGCAAATGCGAAGCTGTTATGATGTTGAAAGACCTAGAACAGGAAGGTGGCTTGGAAACATTGATCAGTGGAGGTTCATGTTGCTCTCAGACTTACCTGACATCGTGGCCTAAAGAGGAGAAAATTTGCAGGGCTCTTATGCCATATTTTCTAGCTAAACACTTCCCTCTTACCTCTTTGGATTTTCCCTCCTGCCGTTAACATTTTGTTTCCAATAGAACTGAAAAATTGGTGGTAACATTAAACTAGGTTTGCAGTCTCTTACAACCAGGGTCAATTTGGTTTAATAAATATTTATTATGTATCTTCTAAGTATCAACTAATAATGCTAGATAATATATTGTAGTGGAAGGGCTCTTGCCCTAGGAGTTAAAATACCTTCATTCGGGTCCTGGCTCTCACCCCTTGAGACCTTGACATCTTCATCTATAGAAAGAGGGGTTGGACCAGTAGGTGGTCTCTCAAGTCTTTCCAATTCTGGCCTTCAATGATCTAAAGACCCCGGGCACAGTGGCTCACGCCTGTAATCCTAGCACTCTGGGAGGTCGAGGTGGGAGGACTGCTTGCAGTCAGTGGCTTGAGACCAGCCTGAGCAAGAGTGAGACCCTGTCTCCATAAAAATAGAAAAATTAGCCGGGCGTGGTGGCGTGTGCCTATAGTCCCAGCTACTTGGGAGGCTGAGGCAGGAGGATCCCTTGAACCCAGGAGTTTGAGGTTGCAGTGAGCTATGATGATGGCACTGCACTCTAGCCTGGCCAAGAGAGTGAGACCTTGTCTCTAAATAAAAAAATAAATAGATAAAGACCCCCACGAAATAGAATGAGCTGCAAATAAAGGTTTAAAAAAAAAACAAAACCTTTCTTCATAAAATTTCTCCAGTCTTCTAGAAAAAGGCTACTTTGAAATAATCATTATAGTAATAGCTAACTCTTATTGAGGCCTTACTATGTGCCAGGCTCTGTGTCTAGCACCTTACATGGATTACCTCCCTTAATCTTTATAACGACCCTGTGAAGTACAAGCACCGTTATCCATATTTTGGAGATGAGATGATGAAATTGCCATTTCGGAGGTCAAGAGACATGTACGAGTTCAGTTAGTAAGCCATAGATCCAGGATTTGAACGTGGGTAGTGTGACTCCAGGCCCAAACTCTTAACCATGGTGCTTATACTGCCTACACATTACCCATTGAAAGTTTAGGGATAACCTGCAAAAGGACCATTGTTTCTTACTTCCCAAAGGAAGCGAATTAGTATCCTATGTTGCAAGACTATTGGGAAAGATGTCCTCTAGGACACTCCCGGGCCTCTGACCAGTACCGGTCCATGGCCTGTTAGGAACCGGGCTGCACAGCAGGAGGTGAGTGGCAGGTGAGCAAGCCACTCCCCATCACTGGCATCACTGCATAAGCTCCACCTCCTGTCAGATCAGCAGTGGCGTCAGATTCTCATAGGATCGTGAACCCTACTGTAAACTGTGCATGTGAGGAATCGAAGTTACACACTCCTTATGAGAATCTAATGCCTGATGATCTGAGATGGAGCTCAGGTGGTAATGCTAGCGCTGGGGAGTGGCTGCAAATACAGATTATCATTAGCAGAGAGGTTTGACCGCACAATAAATGTATGTGCTTGAATCATCCCAAAACCATCCCCACCCCCTGCGTCTGTGGAAAAATTGTCTTCTGTGAAACTGGTCCCTGGTGCCAAAAAGGTTGGGGACCACTGCTCTAGGACACTTTGGCCACAATGTGGACCCATCTGAGAGGACATGAAAATTCACTGGGGCCTCTCTCTGTGAGAGGTTACATGTTGTGTGTATGTGTTTTGCCCAAATACATACACAGTTACAGGTTCCTTTCCATCTATCTGGGAGCCAAATCGAATGAAACACGTTGGCCACAATTAGCAGAGAAAGAGATGTACTAGACTTAGATTCTTCATCCTGGTTGATAGAGTGAGGGATGGGGGCAGAATGGGAGGAGGAGGAGAAGGGATAGAAAGAAGATCTTCTAGGCATGTTGCAAAATTATTTGAAGGGTGAGAATTTGGTCTTCCCTGGCCACCTTGTAATGTTAATTTTCTGGGACGTGGCATGGGCAACATCTGGGCTCTCACTAATGTGTTTTGGCTTGACCTCCCAGGTGTACCAGGGGAGGCCAGTGACTACAAATGTAGTAAGAATTTAGCTTGGCCTTGCTGTCCTGTTGTTGTTACAGAAGAGTTGAATATATAGATTCAAATTGCATTTTTAAAGACAGAACCATGCATATTTTTTCTTTCCCTATCACACATCCTCAGGGAAAGTCTGTGTGTCCAGGAGAAACAAGGTTATTTTATTGATTGAAGATGATGTCAGACCCTTGGAAGTGGTGTGATTAAAGCTGTGGGCAGATTAAAGGTTGCAGAGTTCATGCTATTTTAGTATTTGCGCATAAGACAAGGAATCTTTTCCTTTCCTTTCTCTAATAAGTAAATGGAGTAGTGTTTTCCTCCTTACGTGACTCTTGACATGTAGGTGAACATAAGATCTTTCGGGAAAAAAAGTCAGTAAACTGGAGAGGGCTCTGTAAAACTTTTTTCTCAGGCTGATTTCTTTTCCTTTTAAACAGAAACAAAAAAGGCCGGGGGTATGGTGGGGGTGGGGGAACAAACTGTGTCTGGTTGACAGAAAGTGATTTGGGTTTTAAAAAGGATATGCAGGAGAGAGGGCAAAATAAAGGGAAGAGAGTACAACTTTGGACAAGTAGTTTTCTCAATGAGAAGCTGAGTGTCAGGAGAAATCCAGTCAAAATGGAAATGAAGAATCTAAACAATACTGGAAAGGAATTGTATGGTGGTTTCTCTCCAGAGGCTCAAGTTTAAAGGCCTTGGGCTGTTTTCTGGTGTTTCACTTGAAAAAGTACAATTTTTTTTTTTTCAGAATTGGACAATAGAAGCACGGTGGTTATTTGCCATAGCTCTCTTAACAGTCCAGCTTTGATTCCAACTAGAAGTTGTTCCTATGCTTTGAAATTATGGCAGACACCCTAAAATAATTACCTTGCAGATTGGAGACGATTTTGCTTTTGATCATGATTAAATGTTGGGCCAAAACAAGATGGAAAGACAAATTTCCGTGTTTGTTCACTCTATATCTGTTCACTTTATTTTTGGCAACATTGCAAGGAAATAATGTTAAATTAATCACTGCGCGGTTTTGTGGATTTTTTTAAAAAAAGTTGAATGTCTTGGACATGCTCCCAAAATACAGAGATGCTTGTGTGTTTCCTTCACGTTGCCTTGCTCCTCAAATGGAATCTCTGGTGTGGATTAAAGCCTTTCCTTTAAGTGGTAAGAGTGAGTCGTGGATAGGCTGGGACAGAAGACAGGAATGTGGTTCACGTGCATCTCACCTAAACACAAACTTTTGAGCTTTAGAACCATTTCGGTCAGGCTGGCAGGGTTTTTCAGAGGGTCAAGGCAGAAAATAGAAATGAGGACTATCTCAAACCCGTATCTATTAGGCATTTGCATCTAGTGTCTATAATGAGTCTGGTAGTTTCCTTTTGCTGAGACACTGGGGCTGTGGAAGTGCTGGGAAAGCGAGTGGAGGCATCTTCTGCTTGGAGAAGAGTTGCTGCTCTGTGTTGAGAAGAGCAGTCAACTTTCCTACTCTGGCAGGAATGGATGGGCTACTAATCAGATAATTAGATTATAAGCTCCGTGAGGGCAGGAACTACATTATAGGTGTCATTGTAGTCCTCACTGTGTCTAGCATGAGGCTGGCAAATGTCTTGAGTAGTTGATATGCAATAAATACTTAATGACATGGTTCAAAAGTTGTTGTGTTTTTCCTTCCGCCCATCTGAGGCTGAGGAAGTCAAATTGGAAGCCTCCCCAAGTGTTCTTTTTTTGACCAAAACCCTAACTCATGATGACTGCCTTCCCTTCCGGGGTGTGGGGCAGTGAGTCTCACTAACCTGCCCTGCTACTGATAGCAATTGAAAAGTTGCACCCTAAAAGTGACAGTGGTTATGGCTTTTGTCATCATCCACTATTCCAACTGGGGGTGGAAGCAGTAGCTTTCTAGGCCTGTGAGGCCAGAATAGAGCCTTTCCAGTCTCAGACCTGAACATTTTCATCACCTGGAGACTGACATGGCCTTGCTGGACAGTGAGGTGTCTTTTCTTCCCTATTAGAGATGGACGCTGCCACTCATTTAAAAGCCAGGCACCATGGGAGGACAAATCATTCCCTTGGAAGGACTGGTTTGGTTAACTGCTGGCCATTGGTGGCGAAATAGAAACGACGTTTTTATTTCTCCCTCCCTCCCCCTCCTGAACATTTCAGAGTGACCAGTGGTTGAACTCTTGGCGGCGCTTACCCTGAACCTGAGTGTTAGGGGAGAGGGAATCTGCCGTTGCGGTTTCTGGAGCTGCTCATAAGCAAGAATTCCCTATCCTGATCAAGGCTTTAAGCCTAAAAGAAAGCAGAAATAGGTATGGACCATGGGTGTGTGTGTGTATATGTATGTGTATGTGTGTGTGCCTATGCCTGTGTGTGCCTGTGTGTGTGTGCTGGGTGGGGTGGGCGTGGCTTGGGTGGGGGTGGTATACTCTTCTAGGGTCTAAGGCAGCTCGGTGTCTGCATTTCCCTGCCTGGCAGAGGGGATTTGGAAGTGATTTTGCTTTAATACCATACATGTTCCTGTTTCCATTTTTTGAGAGAGGAAAAGTGGTTTGGTAGTCACCTCTTTAGTTTTAGGCACCAAAAAAGACATGTATGTTATGTTTGTCAGCCTTATCAGAAAATCCCAATTTGACAGTTCAAATACAGGAGTCCAGGGAACGGCACTGGGAGGGAGGGAAAGGGGACTGGGTTGCTCAGCAATTGGTGTGCACTTCCCAAATAATATGATGAATGGTATTTTAAAGGGGCCTTTGGAGGGTCAACTGTGGAATCAAACTGCTCAGTTGAACAACTGGAAACCAGGTAGCAGTAACCATCAAGAAATAAGAAAGAATAGAAGTTGACCTTTCTCCATCTACTGTATGCATATCCTGGGTTACTCCTTGCATGTCTAAAGGAAAGGGGTTCATGTTTCCAGAGAGATTGGAGGTCACTTAATATCATGGAAAAATAAGGGCCTGGGAGCCAGGGTTCCAGAGTTCTCATCGAGAAACCTGAGGCTGGTTAAGTTGACCTTTTTTGTGACTTTTTGCATGACATCATGTCCATTCTCCATCAATTACTTAGGATCCTTAGAATGAACGTTTCATTCATTGAACAGTACTATTAATATTAATTTTGATGCTTATCATGGCAGACAGATGCTGTCCAAAGAATTTTTGAGTCTCTAATGAGTTTGTGTGCACTGTACAGTGTGGGGGAGAGGGAAGAGAGAGAGAGAGAGAGAGAGAGAGAGAGAGAGAGAGAGAGAGAGGAAGGGATGGGGAGGGAGGGAGGGAGCGAGACAAAGAGAGGGAGAAGTCACTTACCACTCATTTTTCAGTTGGGAAAATAGAAGTCAAGAAAAGAGAAATCAATTGTTTGGGTTACTCTATAAACCAATAGTATGATTAGAATTTGAATATTAAGTTGTCTTACTACTGTTATATGTTTCACTCAACCAGTATGACTTTTTTAGAAGAATTGGTGGTGGAGGGGGTATATGGCAATCATATACCTTTTCCAGAAGGATGACCTTTATATTTTTCAATTGCTAAATGTTGTCAGAGGCACACTTCAAATGAAAGAGGCTTCCCCTTTAAGCTCCTCCCACTCAACAACAACAAATCTCAATGACTATTTCCGGATGGCTGAAAGAGAAACTTTGTCAGTAATAATTATTCCAAGTCCTTCTCTTATTAAGCCAAGGAGCATCCAAAATGGACACTATATAAAAGGATTTTTTAAAAAAGATATGTTTCAGAGTATTATGAGGTCAGAGAAAAAGGTTTGCATCAAGGCAGGGATCCTTCCTATTGGGTACAAGCCAAGCTCTCTTCACCTTTTATTTATTTTAGGTTTTATTTAGCAATTTATGGCCCCTTCACATCCTGAACCACTTTACAAATCCTGTCTGTGGGGTAACTTTCCCCACTGTTCTACCCCTACCATCACAGTCAGAAGAGTTGGATGTTTATTTTAAACAGAATACACAGAGAGATGAACCCTGTGAATAAGGACTTTGCAGAATTGCCCATTGTGATCACCCTACTTGACTGTTCCAGGTTTCCCAAGTCCTCTTAGAAGTTAAGTCTGGATTGAATATTTAACTCATGCTAAAAGTGAAAGAGGAAACATAGAGCTTTGATGCCTCCAATTCCTCATCATATCAATGCTAGAGCCAGGAATCCCAAACAATTAATCTATTAATTTTAGATTCAATTCTCTACTTTGTTTCTTCAATGGAATCCTCACCCCCAACCCATTTTCTTCCCCTTTAGAGGACTGATTTATCCATCAACTGGGTGTTAAGCTTCCTGTTTCCCCTTCCCAGGTCAAGGGCAGCCCAGGTGCCCAATTTCTCTCTCTCTTCACAAGGCACCACCAGCAATAGAGATGAGAAATTCTGAAGAACAGCCAAGCGGAGGAACCACAGTATTGCAGCGTCTGCTACAAGAGCAGCTTCGCTATGGCAATCCTAGTGAGAATCGCAACCTACTTGCCATACACCAGCAAGCCACAGGAAATGGCCCTCCTTTCCCCAGTGGCAGTGGGAATCCAGGTCCTCAGAATGATGTGTTGAGTCCTCAAGACCACCACCAACAGCTTGTGGCTCATGCTGCTCGACAAGAACCCCAGGGGCAAGAAATTCAGTCAGAAAACATCATCATGGAGAAGCAGCTGTCCCCTCGAATGCAGAATAATGAAGAACTCCCGACCTATGAAGAAGCCAAGGTCCAGTCCCAGTACTTTCGGGGCCAACAGCATGCCAGTGTTGGAGCTGCCTTCTATGTCACTGGAGTCACCAACCAGAAGATGAGGACCGAGGGACGTCCATCAGTTCAGCGACTCAATCCTGGGAAGATGCACCAGGATGAAGGACTCAGAGACCTTAAGCAAGGGCATGTCCGTTCCTTGAGTGAACGTCTGATGCAGATGTCACTGGCCACCAGTGGAGTTAAGGCCCATCCACCTGTTACCAGCGCTCCCCTCTCCCCACCACAACCCAATGACCTCTACAAGAATCCCACAAGTTCCGGTGAATTCTACAAGGCCCAAGGGCCACCTCCTAACCAGCATAGCCTGAAGGGCATGGATCACCGAGGCCCCCCACCAGAATATCCCTTCAAGGGCATGCCACCCCAGTCTGTAGTGTGCAAGCCCCAAGAGCCAGGGCACTTCTATAGCGAGCATCGCCTGAACCAGCCAGGGAGAACAGAGGGGCAACTGATGAGGTATCAGCACCCCCCTGAGTATGGAGCAGCCAGGTAAGAGAGTTCCCTTTCTGTCATTTCCTGACCTCATGCCCAGCCAGCTTCTTCTGCTGCGTGTTGGGAATCTTAAGGGAAGGAATGGGCAGGTGTTTGGTATAACAAACTCCGCAATGCATGACTGGCCCCTGGCTCAGTAAATTGCCTGCCAACCAGAATTTCTAGCCTCTTCAGCCATAATTAGCATTGTATTAACATTCCCTTGACTTCATAGGTTGAACATGGCCTCAACTGCCTAGTGGATGAACAGGAGCACAAGTCTTGATTTTAGCAGCTATTCACTGTACTGTCTCCTAGGATGTTGAAGGAAGGGTCAGTGTTTATCTTCTTGTGAGTTGTTAAGCCTTTCTTTGAGAAGTAGAAGCAAATATTTTGGACTTTTGATTAGTTTGGAACAGCCTATCACTTCCACATAGTCTTTTTCCATAAAGCTCTCATCACTTATTTTTGCAAACAAATCTGTGCATTTCCTGTTAGCTGGCCTTTCTCCATAGAATTACCATGATTCTTTTGGACACTAAAGAAAACACCCACATGTTATGGTAGGGGGAACTAGGTATGTGTGCGGATTCAGAACGTCACTGCCTTGTACTGCCTTGCAGTTCATGAAGTCTGGCGTGTTTCGTCTTACTTTAGTGGAGCGTTTGTTGCTTGCTTGCTTGCGTGTCATATTTTTAAACATTTAAGTTAAATTCCTATCACGTCATGTAGAAGTTTTGGTCAGATGCTAAAATGCAGAAGTAAAATATTCCCTTGACTTCTGTTTCACACATATAGTTCTTCCTAAATATACCTCTTAATTATTCAGAGGCCCATTGTCCCATTCATTGCTGTATTCACCAGACCTTATGATTCCATAATTCTTTTCATTGTTCCTGTTAGTATTTGGGCCAGGTCTCGGATCAGTAATATTTCAGCATGTGAAGCAGGGGAGAAGGTTTAAACCATGGGCAACAATGGTGGCAGTTATGTGTGGCATTCCTGCCCTGTGACCATGGGTAATGGTGGGTGGCCATAGGGTTTGAAGTCCTTAGACCTAGGCTGGCCTTCTTCCATATGCGGCCCACAGACTAGGTCTGTGATCTCTTTGATGTCTAACTCTGTGTCTCCTGTCCCCTCCTTGCTCTCTTGGGAAAGAACTCCTTGGCTTTAAGTTTATTGGGTGACTCAGGAGAGAAAGCATTCAGGGGGTGGAGTAGGGTGAAGGTAAAAGAAGGCACCTGGCATTTCCTGGCATTTCATTTATTTCCCCCTCCAGGCCCTGTTTTGTAGCCAGAGGGAATTCACTTTGGACTCCGCCCCTAACTTTGCCCGTTTACAGTTTTTTTTGCCCTCTTAACTCAGGTTGAAGGGGTTAGCCCTTTTCAACCTCCTCTGTGCAGCTTTCAAAGGGCAGGAGCCTACGTTCTGATACATGTCTTGGAACAGGAAATGGGGTAACTGACAGGGCCATTCAAGTTTAAAGGAGAGCAAGATCTCGATTCCCATCTGCCCAGTGAAATGAAGACCCAGGGAGGGGTAGGTCTGTTCGAGACTGCTTCACTTAGTGGAAACCCATTCAAGCCAGCAAAATGTCAATGCAGCTGGGGGGTTTTGTTTTGCCTTTACTATCAGGATGGAAGAGTCTAGGGATGGGCTGACGTCTGTTGCCTTGTGGGAGGGGAGTGTGCTGGCTGGGGTGTGGAGCAGAAGCCAAAGCCCGGCTCAGCACATGGTCCGCCTTCCCGGGGAAAGCTATTTTCAGAACTCATTCACCAGTATTGTTTGTGATCTGAAATGACTCCCACAGTGTTTGAAGCTAGATGGAAAAGCCCTTTGATCTGCCTAAATAAATAATAAGGAGCCGAAAGAGGGTTTTTTTTTTCTCCCCATACTGATTAAACCACCAGAGAAATTTAGCTGTATTTTAGCACACAGGTTTGTTCTCTAACAATTTTTTTTTTCTGTGAGAGAGGAGCAGAGTGCTTGATAATGATGAATAATCACACCTAAAATGGCCCTAGTGGGAGGATACTCCATTTGAAGTTTGGGTCTGCATCAATCAAATTCTGGCCGCAAAATTTTTGCAGGGCCCCGCACCAGGGAGTGGCACATACTGACAAATGACTGGCAAGAGAGGGTAGTTGAACTGCTTTCCAGAAGTATACTGCTTTTAGGTGGTGACACATTTTTTTTCTCCTTTATTTCCTTTAACTAACTAGCTATACAGTTTGTGAGTACCTTTCCAAGTAACTGCTGCTAGCACCAACCAATTCGAATACTAAATTCTTAGTTCCTAATCTACAAATTACAGATCAGGATGAGAAGCAAGCTCTTTAAACAAATTACTGTTGAAAAAAAAAACCAAACCTTTGCTTTTAGAGGCGCAGTGAAATGCTGGAGATTTGCTGTTAAAATGAACAAAATGTTATAAATAATCCTTTTATTGCTTCATCTTTCCTATGCCCTCCTCCCCACTTAAAAAATAAATATCTCGAAGGCCCAGAACTCTAGATGGGAAATAAGGCCAAGCCATCTGAAGAATTTTACAATTTCTGAATCTTTGTCTAAGTGCTGAGCCTTTTCTGCATCCTGGGTTTGTACATTTATCAACTGCTTTTAAAAATTAAATCATTTCTGTTTATAAAGCAGTCACCTCCTTTCAATTGTTGAAATCCTGCCCAGATCTGAGGTTTCTTGAAATCCTTGTTTAGTGGAATCTAAGGGTGACCTAACTCTGTAGTTCAGAGCAGAGCTGGTTGTGCAAGAGAAACCATCAGGAATTTGCAGCCTGCTCCAGGATTCACAGATTCACCATTGCAGAGCCTGGGAAAGACACAGTTTCTGTGGTGAGCATAATTCGGGGTTCCAGGCTGTTGGTGGCATCTGCTCTGGTGAGAGTGTGCCTGTGCAGGCTGGCACAGTTGTGGGCCAGGAGTGCGGACTGTGTGTGTGTGTGTGTGTGTGTGTGTGTGTGCGTGCACGTGTGTGCATGTGTGCGTGGCTGGGGAGGGCAGGGACTCCCAGACTTGGAGGTGGCAGGGTGGAAGGCGCTGTGTCAGCTGGGTGGAGTGGCTTTTACTTTCCCTTTTGCCCTCACATGCTGTCTCTGGGAGGGAGCACCCCGCCCCATTCCCCTGGCTTTGGGGAGGACTCTGATTTTCGTCACTGGCCTCCGTCCTGCATGGATGCCATGTCCCTTTTTCTGCAGAGCCCCAGTGGCCCAGGTAGGAGCAGGAGGAAGGGAGGGAGGAGACAGGAAGGCAGGTCAGGGCTTCCATGGGATCATGTGATTCTGTTGTCTGCAGGGCGGCTTGTTGTTCCTGGTTAATGTGTCAATGGGGAGCGATTCAAGCTGCTGTGTGGTGGAAGGACCTGGAGAGTGTGCTGCTCACCCAGCTGCCACCTTTATTATTACTGTCATTACTCTTGCTGTTATTATTATTTAATCTTGGGTGTATTTTTGCTTCCTCTGACATCGCTCATAACTCTTCTCCACCCCTGTTGTTCTCCTAATCCCTTCTTCTCAGGGGGAGCTTCGCCCCACTGTTAATACTATCCTGCTTTCTTGTGGTGGGCGGATGCTGGAGCCCAGATGGAGTTCCTTTGCTGAAGGGCTTTCTCTCCTTTTGTGACTGCCCAAGCCTTTACTTGTTTGCAAACCTGCCAGTGATGGACTGCGTTGGTTTTCCCAACATCATGGTGCACTGAGATCTGCTTCCTTTTCCAGCCTGGGGAACCTAGGGTCAGCTGCCTTGTCTCCACTTATCTTTGTCCTGGGCTTATCTGAGCAAGGAGACCTCCTTCTGGAGACCTTGTGTTCTCCTCCTTCCCGAGGCCCCTGGGAAGCTGTATGCTGTCCAGGGCACCGAGAGGCCTTTCAGCATCCAGGAAGGAGGCAGGCCAATGGCTGAGTCTATTTGAGAGAAAGGTCTGGGCTGCTCGATGGGGCCCAGGGGAGCTGTGGGGAGGAAGCTCAGTTCAGAACTGGGCATTCAGTCTTTAAAGAGAACACCAGCCCCTTCTGGGCTTCCAAATCCTAGGAATGAGAATGAAGGTTAATATAGGGACTTTTCCCCTTAACTTTTGAGAGCTGGATTAGAGAAGGTGAAGTTTAAGCCTAATTTTTCTACACAAGAGATGCACAAGCTGCAACAGATTCTAGGACATTATATTTTAACTCTAGGGATACGTAGAAACTGTAATAGTTCCTGCTCAAACAAGGAAAAAGAGCACATAGTCTTTTGCCTGTGGGGAAACTGAAGATCCACAGAATGGAAAATAGGAACTCTTCATTAAAGACGGTTATAAACAGCTCCCAGGCTTTTGATTGGAGGAGTGCTTTGAACTCTGGGAAAGAAAGATTATGTATGGTCGCAACTTTCTACTTGTAATGATGAGTACCATGTAAATTCCTCTGGTGTGCCCAAGTAGTTTGCATGCCCTCTTTAATATTCAGCAATTATTTATAATGACAAATGTATGAAATTAGAAGAATGTGGGCATACCAGAGGCAAAGATGGGGCCCAAGGACAGAATCCAGGGTTTGAGCAGGTTTGAGGGCTCTTGTGAATCTAGGTTATTGGGTATCCATGAGCAAGTGTTTGGAACGAGTCTGTAGCTGTAAAAAGTCCTTATGGTGAAAATCTCTTATAGGGATCCATAAATGAACAATAATGGTAACTGGGGTGTGTGTGGGAGGGATGTGCTTTAGCATCTGGAATGCCAGTTAAAAGTTAATTGTTCCTGGTGATTTGTCCCAGTTCCACTATAAATTTTATGCAATTTGCCACAAAGATTAAATGGATATCCTATAAGTAACAAGCTAACAAGGTCAGCCTATCTCACTGGGAGGTAGATAAGAGACTCTTGTAATTCCTATTGAGCTAAAGCTAAAAAATGAGAAGACCCTAGTATTTCTGCAACTCATTTGCAACTTCAGGAATGAAACATGCTCATACAGATTGAGTAACTTGAGAAAGGTTACACAGCTAGTAAGCAGTAGAAAAGATCTCCAAACTCTGTGTTGGGATCCAAATCCCATGCTCTCAGCTGTATCAACTGTAGCACAAGCATCCACAGGACGTGGGAGCATAGCAGGTTAGTTGGGCATGGGCTGGGGGTGAACAAACTGTTTGTCTTCAGTGTACACTTTCAGATATTCTTCCTGGCAGTGGTGATGGTTGAAATGGTCCATCCACACAGTCTGATTGTTTCCCTTAATGCCTAATAGTCATTAAGTATGAATTATTTGTATCTAGGTATTAGTATTTTGTTCCTAGTAATTAAGCACAAAAATGGGAGAGCCACATTAAACAATGTATTAAAGTCCTCTTTCTGGAACTTTCTATATGCAATAGGCTGGGAATCTGAACATGAATTCACAGAAATCAATGCCTTATGGCAGTAGAAAAAGCCAGAAAAAATGGGAATAGGGAAAGAAAGATTCTACCCTGGCATTACCACTAACTCAGTCTAGTATTTGGAAGATCATTTCCCTTCTCTGGGTCTCAGGTTTCCCCTCTGTTCAAGGATAGAGTTGTACTGAATAATTTCTTTAAGGCCTTTTCAGTCTTTACATTTTGTGATTCAGTACATAAAAGGTAGTATGATAGTGTTGCCTGTAACCCCCTCCAAGTCTTGCTATGGTTACTGCTAATGGGCATCATTAAATCATTAATAACTGTAATCAACAATAATTATTTGATATCTCTAATGTAATAAGTATCTACCTGTCCTTGAGTAATTTATTTGGTGAATACATGAATTATCAAAGGGAGTTATGGATAGCAAGACGAGGGGTGGTTTTTATGGCTGTCTGTTGTTTCCTTCCAGGCCAGTGGAACATATTTTCTAAATTGGAATCTTTACGTGAGCTGGACCACATATGTAATGTCAGAAAAGCTTTTGTTTAAAATAATGAGATGAAAATCACCTTGTGGAAAAATTGTTTGGAATGCTCAGACCTGAGCAGCGAGGGTGCAGCCGTGTATCACTTAGATTTTCACAAAGCGACCATGGAAGTCATCTGGTTCTCTCCCCCATGGGATGACACCTCTGTTTGTCAGGTGGAGTCATAGAAGGTCAGACCTAGAAAGAGTTATAGAGGTCTTTGCAGAGATCCCATAGTCTAACCCTGACTGCTCCTCATTCCGCAGGTGTCCTGGGGGCACCGGAAGCCTCCTCATGTCACTTTCTTGTCCCCTTCTCCCCCAGTGTCTTAGGAGGGAACTTAACCTGCAGGCCTGCCCTTCATGTTTTACAGGCCAACGCAGGACATCTCACTGCCACTGTCAGCCAGGAACTCTCAGCCTCACAGCCCTACTTCTTCCCTGACATCTGGGGGTTCCTTGCCCTTGCTGCAGTCTCCACCGTCCACTAGATTGTCTCCTGCCCAACACCCCTTGGTTCCAAACCAAGGGGACCATTCAGCTCACCTGCCTAGGCCGCAGCAGCACTTCCTTCCTAATCAGGCTCACCAGGGGGATCACTACCGCCTCTCCCAGCCTGGCCTGAGCCAGCAGCAGCAGCAACAGCAGCAGCAGCAGCAGCAGCACCACCACCACCACCACCAACAGCAGCAGCAGCAGCAGCAGCAGCCAGGAGAAGCCTATTCAGCTATGCCTCGGGCTCAGCAATCTGCTTCTTATCAGCCCATGCCTGCAGACCCTTTTGCCATTGTTTCCCGAGCCCAGCAGATGGTTGAGATCCTCTCGGATGAGAACCGGAACTTGCGCCAGGAGTTGGAAGGATGCTATGAGAAGGTGGCAAGACTGCAGAAGGTGAGGTTTCCATTTCAGCATACTAGGGTCTCTTTTAAGTCTTGTTTGTGGGATTTGTTTAATATCCATATAAAAGCCTACACTTGTGAGTGCCTACATTACTTATGTGCAGGGCTTCAGGATTCTTACATCTGAAGGTCGAATATGGATCAAACTGTGGAAAAAGTCTTCTGCCTGTCTGTCTGAAACAAGTAACATTTTACGTGTTCGTGAGGAGAAAAAAATACATAGTTTTATCAGACACCGTAGCCCAAAGAAAACTTAACTGATTGTTTTAGAAGTCCAGAAGGCAGGGTTACTTCTTCATAAGGTCAAGGATGCTGATGGTACCTGTGTAGATGAAGGATTTGCCAGCATTTTAAATCTTGTCATCTTGATCAGTTTTTCCCAAATATGAATTTAAGTCTTAAATAAAAGCCATAGTTCCTAGACAAATCTCACCAGCTGAAGTAAGAGCCAGTCCTGCCTTGTTCTGGAAAAGGCTTAGAGTACTTTTCCTGGTGGGAGTTCTCAGAGTAACTCTTTTTCGACAAGTCCTGCTCCTCCCCCCCACCCCACCCACACTTTTTGCTTTGGTCCTTCCCTGCAGCTCAAATTCAACATCTGCTCTCTTTCTCTGGTGTGTGTTAGGGGGGCAGGAGGGGTTTAGCACCACAGCTGGGTGACAGGTGACAGCCCTAGGCTGAGGAAATAGAAAAAGGAGTGTGTGTCCCCAGTTCACATTCTTCCCTGGGCCCCCTCCTGTCTCCTGCAGCTGGGACTTTAGCTCTTGAGTGCCCCAAGCTAGGAACCTTAGCTCTTGGCTTCCAGTGGCTGTTGGTGAATAGGGTTATGCCTTTGGCAGCCTCTTTGCAGCTTTTGTCATTGTGAAGCTCATGTGGTTTGATCTCCCTACAATGTGAACTGTTCAGGGAGGTGACGGTGAAGGTGGGGGAGGGAGGGGAGGTTGCCTTGCATTGTTCAGTAACTCTGTCCTTAGGAGACACAGGAGTGGAAATTTCAGGGGCCTGAATGAAGCTGAGAATTTGTCAAACACCAGATCTGGATCCTAAAGGAAAGTAGGGCTTATGATCAGCTAAGTATTTTTATGTAGCAAAAAGGCTCCCCCCTCCCCAGTTTTCCCAAATCTGGATGGGGATTTATTAGGATGGAATGAGAACTGTTTCCCCCTGGCTTCACCCAGATTTTATATTTTCTCATCCTCATTTGAACTATATCTCTCTCCCCATCACAATGGTACAATAAATTAATTATGTCCCCACACTAGAAATCTGATTTGCCTGATAAGGTTAAGAGTTGCCACCCGTCCCCAAACTTTGTCTTCTGGGTGGCCCGGCCCTATCTTTGATGCAGTCACTGAAGAATGAGCCAAGATCTACCATAGGCCCTCTTTGCCAAAGGATCGTGGTGATTTTGAGGGGCAGTGGGGTTGGGTGAGTGACAATGGGATGGGATGGGTGACAAGAAGAGGAACAGAATAGGATTTTTGTGGTTGTTTGTTCCCCGAGGCAGGGAAAGATGCCTCAGATAAGTGTAACTGGAATAGCTTGAGTGCTGGCTGAAGTGGAGGCCAACCCAGTGCTGAGGTGGAGTAGAGGGGAAGGTGAAGTAGGAGAAGAAAAGGAAAATGGGGAGAATAAGGCAGATCCCGGGGGGGTGCTGGAAGAAATGAAAAGGTCCACGGCTTGTGAGGGGAATAAGTAGACAGAATAAATCTAGAAACCCACCACCACCTTCGCTATATCCTGCTCCCAGCATCAGCCAGACCGAACCAATAGGTATGCCTTTCTGTGATGTCTTTTCCTGGAAGGCCCTCTTGACAGATGTGTAACTTGCCCTTTTGAAGGATATGGTATCTGTGCAGGGGGTAAGGGAAAGATTAGTACAAGATCTTGAAATAGCAGACTGCAAACCTTGAGGAAAGGGACTGCCTTCCAGGTGTGACATTCTGTGGGGGGAACTGGACAGCTTTGCCCTGCAAACGCTGCCCAGAACAGACCAACACCAAGTCTGCTCTTTCAGATGGAAATGTTTATTTTCTCTGCCCAGTGCTTGAATTTCATGCAAAAGCTTCATCAGGCACAGGCCTTGCAGATCTTGTCTCTAAATGCCATTCACCAGTTTTCACCTTCTGTGCTGCTATCTTGGTGCCATCTGCGAAGAGAGAAAAACACTTTTGAGTCTGCTCTTTTCTGTGGTGTAAGCGTCATTTGTTTGCAGGCAGTCCTGTCTCTGGCAATATTTTGGAGATGGGGGCAGGTTGAATCTGGCTGGTTTGGTAACCCTACCTTTCCCCCAGTCTCCCAAAGGGGCCCTGAGATTTCTCCTCATAAAGTACCTTGAGCTTTGGTAAGGAGGATGGTGAAAAACTGAGAAGGAATGCAGAGTGGTTACAGGAGTCAAATTTAATTTGAAAATTGTTTAATAGGCCATGGGGTTTATTTGTCTTATACAAATTATATGCAAATATGTCTGTGGTTATTGTATGTGCAGTGGAGCTATACTGGTTAGAGAAAGACACTGGTGTCTAATTTCTTGTTTTCTTCCTGATTCTGGCTGATTCAGGGCAAGACCCTTTCTCTTTGAGTTTTGTTTTTTTTTTTTT